CATTGCTGTATGAATATCACCTCTAATAATTTCCTCCTTTTCAACTTCCTTCACTGCTTGCTTTGCCAGCGTCAGGGATTTTAGTGTGGCTTTCACATCTCCGGAAACTAAATCTTCAACAGTAGCTTCAACTTTGGATGATGCTGATTTCTTTAGAGATCTCAGAGCCCCTTTGATATTTCCTGGTATAATATCTGGCTTCTCCACTTCCTTGAAGCTCTTCTGAGCCATCTCCAGACACTGCAGAGCTTTTGGTATGTTGCCTTTCACCACCTCCTCTTTCTCCACAACAACCGTCTGATTCATTGATTCAGACAATGAATTCAAAGCAGCTCTTAAATCACCCTTGACTATCTCCTCCTTCGGAAGTTTCTCCAGTGAGACAACTGGCTCTGACATGAAAACTTTCGCTGTATTGTGAACATCACTGGGTATAACATCCTCTACTGTCCGATCAATTTGTTTTTGAGTACGGGCAAGGATGAGTTTTGTGCCCTTAATGTCGCCTCCAACGATCTCCTCTTTTTCTGCTCTGTCAGGCAGATTCTCATCAGATCCTAGATGGAGCTGTTTAAGATAGTCCAAAGCCCCAGATTCAATGCATGTGGAGTAAAAACTGACATTTCCCTTTTCAGTGTCATCTACTTTTATTCTGACTGACTGATCTGGCTTGTCTTGGCTGGACAATCTTTGAAGGGCGCTCTTTATATTTCCTCTTACAACATCTTCTTTTTCAACATTAACGTTTTCTTGTTTATTGAGAAGGGAATATATGGTCATTTGTACATCTCCTTTTTCATCTTCCTGGATTAGTATTCCATGTTTAGTTGACCTACCCTCACTGAAAAGCTTGTTTATAGCTTCTCGAATGTCACCTCGTAATATTTCCTCCCTTTCAGTGCTGCTTTCTCTCTGTTGGTTGAATAGTTGCTGCACTGTTGAACTGATATTGCCCTTCTCCTCTGCATCAATGACTACCTGTCTCTCATGTTTTTCCTGTCGGTTCAATAGGTTCATCATAATAGTCTGCAGATCTCCCCTGATGACTTCTTCTCGTTGAATCTCTGGAGCCTGCTTATTCATTAAATGGTATTTTGCCATCCTAACATCGCCAATTTCATCAGCTTCAATGAGTATTCCCTTCGACATGACCATTTTGTGACTATAAAGCTCCTCAAGCGTTCCCTTGATGCTTTTGCCAAGGATTTCAGTCTTCTCCATTTTTGTCTCATTAAAGTCATCAAATGGTGTAGTTTCAAAAAGCCACGTAGTTGTCTTTACATCAGCTTTGGGAATCTTCTCTTGAGTGATGGTTGTATGCTCGTCCTCATCCACCTCTTTAATGTGGTCAAGAGGATTTTTCTCAAAGAGCCAGACTGAATGTTTGACATCTCCTTTTGCAATCTCCTCAGTTTTAACTGTTTCAATCAAGTTATCAGAGCTCATACTTCTTATTTTATCAATGGATTGGGTTTCAAATCTCCATTTTGCAGTCCTGACATCACCTTTTTGGATTTCACTCACATTAACCGTTCTAACATATTCCTGTGACAGGTCATCTGATTCAAAACGATGTTTATTCAGCTTAACATTGCCTCCTTGAATGTCATCAACGGTTTTTATTATAGCCTTAGTTTCTTCAGTAATCCTGTCAAGAGGTTGCGTCTCAAATTTCCACTTGGCAGACGTGACATCTCCTTTTTGCACATCCTCCTGTGTGACAGATTTGATTATATAAACCTCATCTGTGTCCTTGATGGCATCAAGGGGCTTGGTTTCAAACAACCAACGAGTTCCCACTACATCTCCATGTGTTACCTCCTCACTGGTTACAGTGGTGACCTCATGGTAATGGCCCTCTTTGTCCTGAATGGCATAAAGGGGCTGAGTTTCAAACATCATGGTATAATTTCTTACATTGCCCTTCTCTTCTTCATCACAGGCAGTTTTTCTAATTTTCGTCTGCTCTGTCTCCGTCTCTGAGGACACCTCGTGAATTTTATCCAGGGAGTAGGTCTCAAAAATGAAACGACCCTTATCTACATCCCCTCCTTGTACATCATTCACTGTGCGGCTGCTCATAGTTTCCTCTTGGCCATCGTGTATTTTATCAATTGATTGGTTTTCAAAGAGCCATTTGCAGTTCACCACGTTTCCTTTTTGGATGTCCTCAGTCTGAACTCTCTTGAGCTTTTGCATCACTTCCTCAGATGTAGAAGTCATGATATCAGATGTTTGGTTTTCAAAGATGTACTTCATTCTTGACACATCTCCAGATGCAATGTCTATCTCCGTAACACGCTTAAAAGACCCCTTCTCCTCCCCGGTAAGGTCCTCTAGTTTCTCTGTCTCAAAGAGAAAACAAGCCAGTCTTACATCTTTTCCACTAATGTCCTCTTGTTTCACTGTGCATGTTTTCAGAACAGTCTCTGTCTCATCATGAAGACTATCAAGTGCTTGTGTCTCAAAGAGCCATGTACAGGTTTTGACATCTCCCTTACGCATTTCTTCAGATTCATTTTCACACTTTAACTCTGCTTTTTCATACAGGACGTCCATTGGTTTTGTCTCAAACAACCACTTACAGGTTTTCACATCTCCCTTCATGACGTCAAGATTTTCACTTGTCCCCACAATTTCTTCATCTTCAATATTGCTGAAATACTTGATAGCATCAAGAGGCTGTGTTTCAAACAACCACTTTGCAGTTTTAACATCACCAGACTCTATTTCCTGTTTGGAAATTCCTTTAATAATTTGGTATTTATTTATGCTTTCATCAAACTGGTCAATTGGTCGCGTTTCAAACATCCACTTGCAGGTTGTTACATCCCCCTTTACAATCTCCTCACGTCGCACTGTCCTCACCTCATGGAAGTGACCCGAGCTGTCTTGCATGGCATACAGTGGAGTAGACTCAAACAGATTTCTATTCGATTTCACAGAGCCAGTTTTCACACCCTCTATGAGAATTCTTTGAGATTCATTCCTCCTGCTTAGATCTGTGCTCTCAAAGATTTGCTTGTAGTTTGAGACATCCACTTTATCAATTTCTTCCAGGTCGATTGTTCGGATGACTTCCTTCTTTTCCTCTCTAATTTGTTCCAAAGGTTGACTTTCAAATCGTAGTTTCTGATGCATCACATCACCCTTTTCCTCATTAAGTGCTACTGTTATTTTCAGTTTGCCCACCTCTGCAAGCTCCTTCAACTCCTCTGTTGGAATTGTTTCAAAATAATGTTTGGCTGATCTCACATTACCTGCAATTATTTCCTCTTTTGTCATGGGGCGAGCATTCGAATCATCTTTTAATGAATCCATTGGCTGTGTTTCAAATACCCAGCAGTTCTTGCGAACATCTGCCCTGCAGCTTGTGCCGTCCTCCTGTGTGAAGTCATCCTCAATATTCACAGTTCGTGTAACCTCTTTCTTCTCATCTCTTATGCACTCTAGAGGTTGACTCTCAAAGCGCCACTTTTGGTGTCTCACATCCCCTTTGATTTCTTCGTTTAGTGGTGCCTTTTTAAGTTTTCCAACCTCAGGGTAGTTCTTCCTGGCAGCTTGAGGACTGCTTTCAAAAAACTCCCTGGCAGATTTAACATCACCCCCAATAATTTCATCAATAGACTGAGGTCTGGCATTGGAATCATCCTTCAGAGAGTCCATTGGCTGAGTTTCAAACACGAAGCAATGCTTGCGCACATCAGTTCCGATGATCTCTGTCTTCTCCATTTGTGAGCTTTCCCACTCATCGAGAGAATTTATTGTCTTTATCTCAAACAACCACCTGCCCCAGTCTCCCTTATTACTGTCCTCCATGGAAAGACTACACACAAGTTTCAAAGAGGTAGATTCTTTGTTTGTCATGTCCAGTGGTTGGGTATCAAAAAGCCAACGTGACGCAATGGAGTTCTCCAGCTCAGTTTCAATTTTGCGCACAGACTTAATCTCCAGCATCTGGCTTGACTGTCCCATAATGATGCATTTAAATTGAGTATCAAATGTACTTGTTACAGTTTTCACTTCTTCATCATCAATTTCTTCTAACACAGACCTTAGACTCAGCATGTGGTTTTCATCAATGGTCTCAGTGTGGCCAAGGCTTTCCATGTACTTATTGTCAATCATGTAAATAGTAGCATGTCCATCTTCCTCTGTAAACACAACCTCTTTTGTTAAATCCTCCTCCTTATGCATTTTATTTTGACTGTCCATTGTTTGGGTTTCAAACGACCACGCCGCAGCACGGACATCTCCTTTGTCAAATTTGTTGAATTTGTTTTTATATTCTGTATAGCTGGTGTTTTGTGAACCTAGTTCATCTATTGGCTTGGTCTCAAACATCCAAGCTATGTGTCTC